GGGGGCTGTGGAGTCTCCTTCTCTGGAGATCTTCAACCCCTGCCTGGCCGCTGTCCTGTGCCCCTGCTCTGGGTGAGCCTGCTTGAGCAGGGGGGTGGGCCCGGGTGATCTCTGGAGGTCCCTTCCAACCCCTGCCATTCTGGGATTCTGTGAAAACTTACATAAGGGACTTTGAATGAAGCACCTCGCAGCAGGTTATTTTTATAAATGTCTGAGCATCGTTGTCATATAAGACAGCAAAAGAAGAGTATCTATGTGTAAACAGCTTATGACATGGTGCAACTCCAAAAAGAATAGAAAACTGGTATTAATTTAATGAATCATGTTTTAGGATGAAAGATGCATTAATTTTACCCATCACTCTTTTAGATGAAAGAGCCTTGCGTGATGTAATGCATGCATTATGTTACATGATAATTGAAATCAAGTAATAAAAACAGAAAGCAAAACCATTTCATCACTTTGCGGAGCTATCAATACAAAAAATGTGCCGTGTCAACTAATTAGATCCACATGCGTGAAACCAGCCTCTCATCCCTCAGGCAGTCTCAGCTGTATAAAAGCGCTCTCGGCTCAGGGTTCTTCCAACCTCCTCTCTTCACTCGTTCTTCTCAGCGAATTGGGTAAGGCTGAATCTGCTCTTTAGAACTCTTGGAATAGCTCTTTGCTGTACAATTTAATCTAGGATGGCCTCTTCCATTAAGAACTAATGGGTAAAATTTCAGATGAAAAGATAAAGGGTACAAAAATTATTAAAAGTGTTATGGACAGCTGTTCTCTGCATTCAGGGCTGGCCTTTAATCTCAAAGCAAACTGGAAGTTTCTTGATATGGCAGAAAATTAAGTTTGTTATTAGTTCACTTCCAACAGCTGAAAAAATGAGGTGACAGGTTCAACATGCATTCATCTTCTTTGTTTGTTTATATGGGTAACTTGAAATTGTTTGGAAAAGTTTAAATCCTCCTGGTTCACAGGGAAATGCCAAGCTTGGAAGCAGACCTTCCATTATCTCCAGTTTATTCCATTACAGATCACTCAAGGTGATTAAGAGGTGCATTAAGAGGAACGTGGCCAGCAGGGCGAGGGAGGTTCTCCTCCCTCTCTACTCTGCCTTGGTGAGACCCCACCTGGAGCACTGGGTCCAGTTCTGGGCTCCCCGGTTCAAGAAAGATGAGGAACTCCTGGAGAGTCCAGAGAAAGGCAACAAAGATGGTGGGGGGGACTGGAGCATCTCCCCTAGGAGGAAAGGCTGAGGGAGCTGGGCTTGTTCAGCCTGGAGAAGAGAAGGCTGAGAGGGGATCTCATCACTACCTACAAATATCTCAAGGGTGGGGGTCACGAGGACGGAGCCAGACTCTTCCCAGTGGTGCCCAGCGCCGGGACAAGGGGCCATGGGCACAAACTGAAGCAGAAAAGGTTCTGGTTGAACGTGAGGAAGAACTTCTTGATTGGAGGGTGACTAAACCCTGGCATAGGCTGCCCAGGGGGGCTGTGGAGTCTCCTTCTCTGGAGATATTCAAACCCCACCTGTGCCCCCTGCTCTGGGTGAGCCTGCTTTGGCTGGGGGGGATTGGACTGGATGATCTCTGGAGGGTCCTTCCAACCCCAGCCATTCTGGGATTCTGTGTGATTTTACGTTAATTCAAGACAAATGGGCATGAATGCTACCAGAGATCAGGCACTGGCTTAGAGACAGCAAGACACAGAGAAGAATTGAGAGGTGTTTAAAAATGTTCTGTAAGAAACTTATTTAAGAGAAAGAGGGGTCCTGGAGGGAATTTAAGGAGCTGACAGTTGAAGCACTGGGTTTTTCATGTTATTGGGGGCAAGTTGTTTGGGGTGAGATTTTTTCCAAAAGAGCTTGGGGCCCAGAATCAAAATACTGTGTTGTTAGGCTAGTTGTAAATATCTCAGTGCCCTGATTCAATGTTTGGAAATTGGGGACAATAATCTTTGTAATTCCCTTGTAATGGTCCCATCAAACAAGCTACTGAGCAAATCTGGACAGACAATGATTTATAATCCCTGTTCTTACAGGGCTCAGCACAAAGGAGATCAGTGGGAATGGAGAGTTAGAGTCATGAAATCATGCATAACAACACACTCCATTCTTGGAGGCCCAGTCCTTGCTGATCCACTGACTCACCAAAGCATCTGAGCAAATAATTTTGCTCTTCTGCTTCAATTTTCGTTTCTAATAGGCATGGGTAAATTGGTGTACTTCAAAGCACTCTTCTCTGAGGAAAGGCAGCAAGCTCTATAGCACTTCTATGTATGTAAATAATGTCTTGTACTTGGTAAAATCAACTCTTGTAGATTGACCTCCATCCCTGTGAGATGTCTTGCTACGACCTGTGCTCCACCACCGTTGGTGGCATCTACCGCCCCCAGCCCCTCGCTGACAGGGGGAATGAGCCATGTGTCCGTCAGTGCCCTGACTCCACAACTGTGATCCAGCCACCTCCGGTCGTCGTGACCTTCCCTGGCCCCATCCTCAGCTCCTTCCCTCAGGATTCGTTTGTGGGATCCTCTGGAGCACCCATCCTTGGGGGCTATGGGGGCTCCCTGGGCTATGGGGGCTATGGATCCCTGGGCTACCAGGGTCTGGGGAGCTATGGAGGCTATGGGTCCCTGGGTTATGGGGGTCTGTACAGATATGGGGGCTCCTCCCTGGGCTGTGGGGCTCTGTATGGCTATGGGGGCTCCCTGGGTTACAAGGGCCTGTATGGCTATGGTAGATCCTATGGTTCTGGCTCTTGCAGCCCTTACTCCTACTCATATAACAGGTACCGCCGTGGCAGCTGCGATCCCTGTTAAATCCTGTAGAAATATCCCTTGGCTAATGGATGACTGGCAAATGCATGATACAATCCTGAACCTCAGCTGAGCTCCTGAGTAAGGGGCAAAGCATCAAAGACTTCCACTTAATACAGTGGAGTCAGAATAGCTCCACAAATTGCAGTTCTCATTTCCTTCTTCATTTATTTCATCGCGTCTTCCTTGCCCCTGCCAGTGGTCAAATGTGAAACCCCACCATCGCCCCAAAGGACATTTGCTTCTCCCTGAAACTTCCACATCCTGGGAGAAGCCTGAAGGAACACCTCTCGGGAAGCCCAGCGGGGACAACATGCCTGCCTCTGCCTTGTGTGTCTTTCTCCAGTGTGTGCTTTCTTGCACTTGCAATAAAACAAGCCTGCATCCAACGCCTCCCTCTCCGCCTTTTCTTTCCCAGGCCAGCCTGGGCTTCAGGCTTCCCTCACCCTGCAGGCGGCCCCCGCCCGCGGCCTTTGGGGACAGCCCACAGCCCTGGCACCTCTGGACACCCACGCTCACATCCTGCTGCTAAGAAACCCATCTACCCAACCTTTCATTGCTACTGAGCTGAAATGGTTGTCTCTCCTACACTAATTTTTCTACTTGTCAACCTTCCGGCAGTTAGTCCAACTTTTTTTTTTTTTTTCTTTATTTAATATAGTGCTGGAATTCCTTTTAATTTTGCATCTTCCCTGATGATGTTCTAGAGGTCGTCGAACTGTATTCAAAGACAAAGGAAAAAAACATGGCCTGAAGTTCTGTCAAAGCGTATTCTGAAAAGGAATAATAGGAGGAAGGGAAACAATGGGAAACAATTTTTAAGATAGGTATCTGATGAGCAAAGATCAAGCGCTACCTCTTCTTTTTCTGTTAATTGCTGCTGTGATAATAGTTGCCTCGGGGAAGTTTTGGCTGAGTGTAAGTCACCTGGGTGAAGTAAAAGAATAGGAACTAGTGCATTCCAGAGGATTTACCTGTTACTTCACTGAGACTCTTTTAAAGAAAAGCTCCGTGCATGAATGTACAATTTCTTGATCCCAACCCTCTGTCGGTGTCATGGAGTAACGAGTCTGATATTAACAGGTAATTTCAATGTTCCTCCCCTGCCACCCCAAATGTATTGGGAAGCGTCAGATCGCTGTGTGCTGTAAGTAGTAGCAAGCTGAAAGGAAAATTAGTCCGGTACTCACAAATCCTGCTTTTATTTTAAGAAAATACTGGTTTATTTTTACTGATAAACAAATACTTATTGAGAATATTTGGACCAAAAAAAGCTCTTTGCTGAAAGGTTCTCCCCTCTCTGCCTGCTTCATCTTCCCTGTCCCAACACTGCCTGCCCTCACTGCCTTGGGCTTTTTGGGGATGGTCTGGGAAGGGACTGGAGCTTGCAGGGCCCAGCCCCTGCCCCATGAGTGCCTGGGGGGTGTGAAGAGCCCCAGCAGCTGAGGTGGGAAGAGATGCTCCTGCCTTCTGGGCACAAGGAATCAGCGCTCTGACCCTGCTCTCCATCCTCACACAGCTTAAGGCAAGGATGCTGCTGCCATGAATTCCCAGGAGCTCAGCGACCAACCTCCTGGCTTGTGCTGCACCATCCTGGCATCTCCCTGGCCCAGGTACCTCTCTTGTGCTGAGCAAAGCCCTCTTTCCC